ATAAATAAAAATAGTTAAAATAAAATAAAAGTCACATATAAAAAAAGTAAAAAAAAAAATGTTAAGTTCCCCACCCCAACGTTTACGCACATATAATTGTCGCGAAAAGACAATTGCGCTACACATGTTACATATCGTCGCGAACGCTGTAATAAGAGCAATAATTAGAGCAATAATGTTAGGGCCATCAATCACTGATAACACTTAACTGATGAGCGGTAACACTTAACTGATGAGCGGTAAAAGCTTGTAAAGTGTCGCCTATGGCCAATTTTGGGTATTGTAGTTTTTTGAGGTTTCGCGGGTCCTCGCAATTTTAAGGCTTAACATGTTTGGTGTCTTTTTACCCGAAGTGACCCCGTTTTAATTTTTCCTTAATATAGTAAAAAATAAAGCCCACAGTGGTGATTAAATACCACCAAAAGAGACCTCTATCTGTCCCTAAAAAATTGTATAAAATTAATTTCAGTACAGCGCTGCATGATGGAATAAATGTCAGTCAAAGTAACGCAGCGCTGAATACTGAAAAATGGCCTGGCCAGGAAGGGGGTGTAAACACCGCGGACTTCAAGTGGTTTAAGCTGATTGGCTGTGCTGCAGTTGAGACAAAGTCTGAGCACTTCTTATTAACTCCCCCCATTGTAGGGGGTGCTTGAGATAAAACAACACCCTGGGGGATATTTGCTGTAATAATGGACTATATCATCTAATGAGCTGAGAGGCAGGGGAATTTATCAAAAGTGGAGCAGTTGTCCATGGCAACCAATCAGCTTCTCCCTTTTATTTTTCAGTCTGAACGAAATAAACTAAAGAGGGAACCTGATTGGTTACTATGGTAACTGCTCCAGATATGATACATCCCCGTCATTAAGCGGTGGTGAGCGGTGCAGCCTCCTCTCCCGCCCCTAGGCGGAGCTCTGCTCTCTGTCCAGCAGTCAGCGCTGTACTCGGTGTGTATTGTGTGTGTTGCGCTGTGCGGAGTGTCCTGCACCGTGTCATGGTATTCGTCCTGTATGGGCTGTGCGGGGAGCTGCGCTGTGGGAGGGCCGGAGACTGGACGTGCCAAGCAGACGATGCATCTGACTGAGGTACCCTGCATGTACTCACCCCATGCACCCCTAATGCCGCCAATATCTGCAGACGAGATGTGCTGGCTCAGTGCGCAGCTGGGGCAGCGGTGTCAACTAGTGCAAAGTCCCAGCTGAGTGCTGGAACCGTTGTCATAGTTGCAAGGACTTTGTGAAAGTTTTCAGGGATGCTTTACCTTGACACGTGTTCTGTGTGACCCAATCACCGATGACATTGTCAGGAGACTTTGATTGACAGGCTGGAGGGTCAGTGTATGGTGCGTACATGGACTGTCCTGCTTGTGGTATAGAGTGATCAGCGACTCATGGAGCTGGGACTGTCTCCCTAGATGATGCCCATTGCTTCCACTCATGTGGCATCAATACGTATTTTACATTCCAACGATACAGGTTGTGAATGGGCAGATCACATATGAAGCTGGTCATACACTGGTAGATTTCCATATGACAAGTCTCATCACAACCTTCCATGATGTCATCAGAGACGTCACAAATGTCCTTCAATATTTCATTTAACATCTTCCTGTCCAGAGCAATTTCTTCATAAAATCAGAATTGATTTTATGAAGAAATTGATAACAATGATATATGTTCTGTAAGTAGAGGCTGTGTAGAATAAACAAATGCTGGAAATGTTTCAAATGTTTATGTAACCAGTATTTTTATGTAAAAATATATATATATATATATATATATATATATAATAAATGATAAAAGATGTGGTCATGTTGGGTAAATAGGATACAATCCGTGTACCCATCGCACTCGGAACCGCTGTTCCATCAGATAAGAGGTGGGTGCAACAGGTGTCAACGGGTGGCTTCCATCAAAGTCTACAAGTGAAAAGATGGACACCGGCAGTCCGAGGCTTTGTATATCCAAACACTAAATACAACGTTTCAGGGTCTCACAGGATCCCCTTCATCTAACACACTTGTTTGCCTGATGAAGGGGATCCTGTGAGATCCCACAATGTTGTATTTAGTGTTTGAATATGCAACACGTCGGGTAAATGGACACCAAACATATCAAGCCTTAAAGGGGTTCTAAAGCCTCCTGTTTTTTTGCCTATATCTACTGCTGACAAGCAGTAGATATAGGCAAATAGTTTAAGCGTTTTTTCTCAGCGGTTTAGACTTACCTCGTTATCGCGGCGAGAGTCCGGAACTGTTTGTGCGGCCGCAAAGGATCTTGGGGCGGGCGCAGTTCGGATTCTCGGATTCGGATTCTCGGATTCATGTGAAATGTCACTTTCACATGTAGGCGCACCCGACGCATGCTTGTTTGTGGGGGCCCAAACATTTTGTTTGCATTTTTTTTTTTTTAATATGTGTAGGACGCTAGTTTGTGTCCTTCCCGTTACCCTAAGGAGAACTATGGGGAAAGCCCTGACCACATAGTTCTCCTTTTAATCCCCCCTTTTTTTTTTTTACATTCAACTTTATTGATATGCCAAAGAGGATTTGTCGTGTCCTCTTTATGGGGACATCAGGGGTCTATTAGACCCTTTAATGTCACCTAGTGATTTGCTTAATCAGCTTCTTCTCTGGCTACAGCAGCCGGAGAAATGACACATGGAAATTGGTAGTAATGTAATACACGTCGCTTCCGGGTTCAGTGGTCGGAGGAGAGATCAGCAGCTGGACCTGTGCTAATCTCCCTCTGATTGAAGTGGACAGACCAGCTGGTCCTGGGCCCACACAGGAGACAGCGAAGCTCAGGATAGCCAGCAGCGGAGAGGCACACACTCCCTGGCACTATACAAGCAATCTGGCTGTATAACCGCCGGATCACATGCATGTGACCAGCCATCGCCGGCAGGGCCGTAGCTACCATGGGGTGAGTGAGGCACTCGCCTCAGGCGCAGCTGAGAGGGGGCACAGCCAGGGCTGGCCTGACTGCGCCCTCCCACCCCCAGTTGCCATGGCGAGCACAGGGTGCCATTGGAAACAGGGGCACCAGGCGGCCAACACAGCCACGGCTCAGCAGGGAGAAGAGGAGCGACGAAGGCTCCAGCTTCTCCTCGGATCCCCGCTGTTCTGCCCCACCTGTATCGGCAGAGGACTCTGTGTCTTCAATCTCTTTTTTTATTTCAAAAGGGAAATGTCAGGGGGTCTGTTTTAGACCCCTAATTAGAGCTGCAGCTAACGATTATTTTCAAAATCGATTAGTTAGCCGATTATTAGGTTCGATTAATCGGTTAATCGGATAATAGGGGGGCGCATGGCGTCACATACCGCACACTTCTGTTGGGGGGCACATTTTTCCATTCTTGCCTCAGGCGCAAAAGAAGCTCGCTACGCTTCTGATCGCCGGCTATGATCTTGGTAGAACTGCTTCTGGATGCCGCCATATATTTACATTGGGCGGTTCTGAACCAGTTAATTTCAACATTTGATTTTGGATTGAATGGAGTTTCCTGAATGAAAACCACATTTACTCCGCATTCCATCCTGGTCCTTCCAACCTTTTGCATCGCTGTGCTCGGGATCGATCATTGATTTGACCCCATTAACTATTAGAAGATCCAACAAATGTTCCAATAATACATTTTTTGGAAATAAACTCTGCTGGTGTATGGCCAGCCCCCGGCATCTGTCACTTTATTACTTGCAGCTTGGGCTGGGATCGCTGAAGGCGAATTTCATTATTCAACATGATTTCAGATTAAACTTGGGAAATCCAAACTCAAGATACACAAATTATCGGGGCTCTGTATTAATAAATACATCATTAAATGGACTTTGTTTTACAGTGTAAGTACCTCAGTCCCTATACAGCAGAGCTCAGACTGGAGGAGGGAGGAGAGAAACAAGGAGTCAATCAGTTGTGCTGATAGGAGGAGAGAGCAGAAAGATGAGCTCATCAGTCTTCTGCTTCTCCGTTTAGGGCTTGTTCAGTGTGTGCAGTGACTAGTGTTTTTCCGCCAGTCACCGCAAGGGCACACAACAATTGTGTTCTATGTGCCCTGAACACGGATGTCACACAGGCATGCTGCATTTCTTTGCAGTGCACCCGAGGTCAGCAAAGACCTGAATGGAGTGAACACATTGTATGAAGTAAAAAAAAAAAGGAAACAGTGCCCCATGTTGTAGCAACGCAAGGCACCACTATACACCGCTGCCATTCGGGGGACACTAGCCAACCCCACGCTAAAACGGACCGTTATTACTCAGTCACATTTAAGGGAGGGGAGGAGACCTGCAATCTGTACTGGCACTAGAGAAAAATCAGGCTGTGCTGTATGACAGAGCTGTGTAAATCTCAAGACTGGCTGGACAAATACAAATCCCTTTGGGGCATTGTTTAGTAAGGAACACGTGTTAAGAAATATATTGGCAAACAGACTGAACTGGCTTCATCAGATTATAAAATCACCGGCCCCAAATCTTCCTTCTGTATTATTCTAACGTGTTGCTGATGAGCAGCTTGTGGTTGTTGTATGTGGTTTACACTTGACATATGAAGGTGATGAAGATGCTGCTGCTGTTCTGTGCACAGATGAGGTGAGCGGAAGTGGAGAGATATTCGGAAACTGCAACTGATAGAAGAAGGTCTCAGCAGATGCCGCCATCTGATCTACGATGTTCATCAGTCTGGTTGAATTTGTTTAGTGGCCACCAAGCTAAGAGTAGCACCATGCACATACATATGGATAGTTCATTGTTAAGGATATTGTACCCCCCCAAATGTCGTCCCACCACTCCCCC